CCCCATGAAGATCGGGATGCATCCCAAATCTCCACATGGTTGGCAGGACAGCTCTCCCCCACCCCGCAGAGATCAGGACTAGCCCTTTTGCCTCCTGCCAGCCTAGGGCTAGCACCCTGGGGGAGCCTGGAGCTCCCCCTGGCTGCGGCAGGGGGAGCCGAGCAGGGCAGGAGCAGCCCTAAACTGAACTGCTCCCACTGGGAGCAAATTTGCTCCCAACAGGCACATGTTCAGATGCATGCAGACCTGCAGTTTAATGCTGCTGAATTTTCTGTGCAGAAAATTCAGGCACATTAACTGCATGTGTAGACAAGCCCACTGAGACTGTGTTGGAGGAAGGACATCTGGCCAGAGCACAGGCAGCAGTAATTCGGAGTACCCACTGGGTTGTCTGTAACTCATGGTAGAGATCAACTGGTCTCTCGCTGTCTCCAGATTCCACAAACCTGGGAAGGAGGCACAGCTACACGACTCCTCCTTTCTGTCATGAACTAAGGTGTGCTGACGTTGGCTGTACCCAGAATCACAGCCAGGTCATAAAATTTGACAAAAAATTTTTTTTCTTCTTCCCCTGCCTCCTCAATTGGAAAACACCATATTGTCAAAAGACATGTAAAGCAGAAAAACGTCCATCTCTACACGTTTTTTGTGGGACGATGCCTCAGGTCCAACATGACATTTGTGGTCAAAGTAAGAATCAGTGGGGCCAGGAAAGCCAATACATGGTGGGCAGAGCACTTAGCTGGGATGCAGGGCACCAAAACTCTGGTCACTGCTCTGCCCAGTTTGGAGCAGGCAGTGAATTTCTGCCTTCCACAACCCAGGTTGAGTGCCCAACCTACCAGGCTATTGGCTCTTTTGAGGGAAGGTCTCTCTCTCTCTCTCATGCTCTTTCACAATATATTTTGAAAGGTCTCATTTTTGTTCCAATAAAGAATGAAAACAAATATCAAAATCTTAACATTCTTCATAAAGCAGAATTCTTCTTTTCTTGTTCCTTTACCAAAATATCCACTGGCTGGCAAAGTTAAACCAGTGTTAAAAGAAGCACAAGGAATCTGACTATAAATCCGCTTCCCTTCTCAAAGTGTATTTAGTTCCTGTGAAGTCACCATTTCAGACTAGTCTTCTAGTCGCCATAGAGTCTTCCACTTATATAGGACTTGAATTTCAAATTTTAAAACAAAATAGAAAAAAAAGCCCTATTTGGGGAAATGCTTTTTGAGCCTCCCCTTATGCAACATAAACTCACAAGTCCAATTTTATTTTCCTTTATGGGCCACTTTTCCGTTGACCCACATTTAGGGCATTGTGGAAAATATCTGCTCGCAGCTGCTGCCTGGCTTCAATTTTCTACCACTGCTATTTTTTCTTTGAAAAAGCACATAGGAATCCAAATATTTACAAACCCACACATATTAGCCCCAATAGGCCCATGGGTAGAAGGCATTTTAAAAATCCTTAATTACTTTACCATTTCTTAAAGGAATAAGCTGGTGATTAGTTCAACTACCTTAGCTAGGTAAATAAATATTTGCCGAGGAGGAATGCTGTATATATGCATGTGTCTACGTGTATATTTACCAGGGATGCTTTTTAATTTTTTTTCTTAAGTAAAGGTTCTTATTTGTCACGAGCATCAGGTTTCATAAAAATGCATTCTGCACATTTACCAAAAAAACCTGACTGGACCAAGTCAATGCAAGGGAACTTAACTCATTCCAAGCAACAGAGAGCCGGCGAAAACCTTTAGATAAGACATATTTAGGGCCAGATTTGGGTTGTCACTGAGTATAGTCCAACAGAGGCAGAGGCAGTCACAGTTCAGGGATCAACGAGAGCCACTTCCAAGTAGCGATCCCTCGTAGTGTCTCTGACAGCCGAGAGCTCCCGAACCGACAAAAACGCCAAAATGCACGAAGATGAAGATACAGGCACCATTTGTGTCATACGAAAGAAAGAAGTCACTGTTCGTTGAGCTATCAGGAAATTCCTGGCCTGGCATAGCTGGATCTACGCCAGATTTTGGCATAGTGGGCATTGTCAGGGCAGGCCTAGAGCACAGCATTTTCTGTCAACCTCCAAGCAACAAGACAAACCCTCAGCAGTCATTTGAACTGGCAACTTCAGAGCAGCCCCATGACTGTTGGGAGGCTACTTTGGCTCCTATCCGAGACTTCAGAAGCCTTGAAGGTGGCTTGAGGGTACCCCTTGGCCGCCTTTTCCTCCACATCCTCAGTTGCTAAAGCCTGAGCTCACTGCCCCAGTTTAGTTCAAGCTTTTTGTCATTTATTGGGAAAACCACAGTCTGGCCCTCAGATGGAAGGCAGTGCTAACAGGACTGGTCATCAGGGGGAAAAAACTAATCTACCAGCTTGTAAGCCAAGAACATTTGACATGGAAACCACTGAATTTCCAGAGGGGTGAAATGCCATCTGATAAGGCCACTTGCTAAAATCTTGTAAACGATGCAATTTTGACACACAGCCCACTGCGTTTCAAGATATGTGAACCCTTGCCGTGTCAAAGTCGCTTTCTAGTGGCTTGTAAACTAAGCAAGTCTAAACGGGCAAACCACTAAATTTCAAGATACGTGAACCCTCGCAATGACATCTGCTAAAGTCACTTTGCAGAAAACTGCACTTTAAGCAAACAAATTAAAACTATTCTTCACCGCACGTTAAACATTTGCCTATCAGCTTGCTCTACAACTATGAAAACACCTCCCAGAATCTGCACAGTTGCACCAATTCTAGCCAGGATAAAATAACATCAAGGCAGCTACAACTTTTGCTCCATTTGAAGCTTAGGGAAAAGAATCAAGAAGCACCATTCATTTTGATAGCTGACCTACACTGTCTTGCTCCCTGCACACTGCCATTTAGGACATGGTACTTACGGAACAATATTCTGGTGGGTTGTGACAGCACTCTGGGAAGGTTTCCATGCACTGCTACTACATATTCTAGTATAAAGTTTTCCACTGGTTCCTAATGACCCAAAGATTTGGAATAGTACCGTTATAACAGATGACCACAATGCTCGCTGTTGCATTGTGGCAGCATCTAGACCCCTTTTCATGGACCAAGACCTGCTTAAGGCAGCATACAAAGGGAAATCAAAATAAATGGTCCCTGATCAAAGTTGATTTTAAATTAATTAGACATAAGTATTTGGTCTCGGAGGCTACGAGTCCTCTAATGAAACCTTTGAGCAACTAGGAGAAAACAGGAGAGACCAACAGAAGGAATCAACCGGAATCAGACTTTCTACAAGGTTTGACGCTGCACTGTATCACTTTGGACCACACACACAGGCAAAGCAGATAATAAGTATGAGCCAGTGATCCACCAATATTGTGTTACTCAATAAACGTAATCGATGGAGCCTTAAGGACAGGTGAATGTTTGATTATAGCACACTTAGAGCAGGTCGTTCAGAAAGATAAAACTCCCCATTCCCTCTGCTGAAGTGAACTATTAAAAGTGGAAAATGTTACCTCATGTAATAAAGAACAAGACCTGAGGACTAGTCTGGGAATTCAAATTTACAACTTGTATCAATTTCATATGCTGTAAAACTTCACCTAGTTTATAAGTTTCTCACCAAGTTCATAAAACATGTTTTATTATTATTATTTTTCTGACTCTCCTAACTTAATAAAATTCCTCTCCCAGCCTGAGTGTATGTTGTGTTATAAATGTCTTCATTTTGATTCACTCAAGATTTAAGGAAGCTTTCAAGGTGAACTATTAAGGGTTTTTAAAACACTTTCAAATCCCACGTTTTTAAAACTGAACATCCGAAGACTTAAAAAAATAAAAGATTGCTGCAAATCTTAAAGCAAACTACTTGCAAATGGAAATACCCTTCAATTACCTGCCGTGCCTTTAGCCCAAGGTAACATTCAGAAGCAACAGCTACATCTCAAACATTTCGAGTAAAAATAGGGTCTGTTGGATTATGCTAGGCTTTAGACAGTTGTATGCTAGGCTTTAGACCTGCTGTCTGTGATTTGCCAGCAGTTTTGGAAGATAACTAAAGTATGAAACTCAGGAATTAGCAAACCTGAAAGCAGAGGGAAACTGACTGACTTTTAGCTATTATATATTTTTTAAAACATCCTTGTAATTTTTTTTAACTATTTTTCACCAGAAAAAAAAGTATAACAACATACATTAAAAAATTATGACCACGCCTACCTGCAGTTTCTTGATGATATAATTCACTAAAAGCCCCATCTAATGTGTATAGTTTTCCCTGAAATTGAAGTTAAGCACTATGTGTATGATTAATTCCTGAACAATGTAAAGGCAGTGGGTGGAAGGCATCTTGCGAGTCAAAATGCAATAATGATATTTATGGCAAAGGAGTTGCACAGTAAGAGAAATAAACTGTTATGCACAGCATGACAGGCCTAAATCCTAGACGGGTGTTAGGTGCCAAAAGTGCGAGTCTGGTAGTATGTGGGCACCAAAGGCCAAAATTGTAATTCCAAAAATCCCCGCTGAGCTGCTGTGTGACCGTGAAGGCACACAAGCTCCATGAACTGCACAGGCTGGGGTGCCCTGTGCACCCAGAGCTGGGCCTTTGTGCAGACCCAGACCTGATCTCCACAGCGTGGAAAAGATTGAGAACCGCTGCCTCGGAGAACAAGGAAGCTGAAAAAAAGCTACTCTTGTTTGTTAGGCTTTCAAGTTCCCAGTTGTTAAAAAAAATAAATTATTTTTTTCAAAAAACCCCATTTATCTCAGGATCTCCATATCCCAATAAGCACTTAAGGCAAGATAGAAACCCTTGCCGCATGCCCTGTGCCCAGGGTGGGAAATGAGTTTCTTCTCTGCATACTGTTTCCTTTGGAAGGAAAGCAATTGGCACTGTAGAAGATTATGTCCCCCTCTCCCTTTCAACTCTCTGGTTCATTTTCTGCTTCAGTTAAAAGGCGAGGGGGAGGGGAAGCAATTTACTGCTGGTCTAGTTTCTTCCCATTTTACACCCACCTGCTCTGGGAAGGTCACAGCAGGTGTGCAGCACCGATTCCCTCTGGGCATCTGGTCTCCAGGTTGGAGTAGCTAACACAGAGGCATGAAGGGGTCCCCACACTCCCCTCTGTAGTGACGCTGTCCAGGGTGCAACCGACCCCTAGAAACATTCATAACTGAGAGTTAAAAAGAACTATAGTGTCAGATCACTAAAGGACCTAGACGCCTAAATGGTGCATGCCCTATCCGGTGCATAAAAAGAGTGAAGCACAGGATCCAAGACAGCCAGCAGACTGAGCGGACAACTTCTGAAAATGCTCACAAAACCACCTAAGCCAGCTACCAGGGATAAGCTGAGGACAAGCGGGTGTCTGAAATCCTCTCTCACAACCTAGAGCCTGAAACCCTCTCCTGATGGTAGACATCTGACCTTTCTTTCTTTCAAAGAGCGGACCAGCGCTCACTCTTTTCTTTTAAGAGATGGCTGCTCTGAAGGTGTGTCCCCAACTCTATGGAACAGCCTAGTGGTAATAGCTCTCACCCACAAAAGGAGAGACCTGGTTTTAATTCCCTCGCTTTCTTGGGAGATTTAAGAATGAATCTCCTCAAGACCCCACTATGTGAGCATAAGCTACTGTGTACATTTGCTTTGGGACGCTCCCTCCTATCAAAGCTATGCCACTGTGGAGAAAAGCATTCAAGGTCTATTGAGCAAGCGAGCCCGAGCACAATGAACATGACACTGTAGTCTAGTGGTTGGGACACATTTGCAAAGCAGAGCCCTGATTTTTCTGCTTCCAGGGTTATTTAATCCCTGACCACCACAATGGCAAGTTGTGGAAAACCCAACTCTGGGGTATGTGTGACGTGAGCTCTGAGAAACTTTCCCATATCAAGTCTCTCCAAGGTGACAGCCGTAGGAATACCTACTTTATGGATCTGGATCAGGCTTACATGTGAGCTAGATGTTAAGCTGCTTTCCCGTATTATCTTTCCACGGACTAGAAATGCATTTATTTTAAGCAATTTTCAACTCTGTACATAAAGAGCCTCACTGGCTACTTGACTGGCTCATATGCCCAGAGCAGACATTATGTTCATTAACTATGTACTCACTGGGCCTTACTGTGAATTTGCTCCGTTATTCTTCTTTTGCAGCTAACATGACGGCCCTGTATGAAAAGCCCAGGGGCAGCCACTCTGGGTAGAAGATCAAGCTCTAAATCAGAGCTAGCCGGTGTGTCAAACATGTCACTAAGTGACAAGCACCAGGCCCGAGGCAGCGGGTTCCTGCTGGGACTGGGAAAGGTCTCAACATACTGCCCTGCATCTGAGGAAAGCGTGTTGACAACAAACTGTTAACGCAAAGGGGAGCAAAAGCTGACAAGGTGGGGCAGAGCCATCAGCTTTGCAACAGATTTCGTGCTAGATTGACAGCCCTGGAGACCGAGGCCCTGTCTGTCCACAGATCGCACAGCTGGGTACAAGCAGGTCTAGCTTTCTACCTATCACAGTACCCTTTCTTCCCAGCGCACGGGCTCTGTACTGAGGTTGCCAAGATTCACCGCTCTATGATTTAGCAACCTGGAGGATGCATCCAGTGCCCCCCTTTTAAGTCACTAAAAGTAAAGCCTCCATAGCACAACAAGGCACGTCTGACAGTATGCAGCCTTGCAAATGAAGAGGAGAGAAGGGCTCCACAGCAAACCCCACTTCTCCCTCTGTAACTACTGCTGCAGTGCCTACAACTATGCTAAAAGGGCAGTGCTAAGAGAACCAGCCTTAGGCTGGAGACCAAATCCTAAATAGGTCCACAGGATAAGGAGCACTAACAGTTTATCCCAGCACTTTGCAAAGTGCATCTGAACAGTTATCCCAGGACTGAATCACTGAATTAGTGGCAATGCATTCAACTACTCACTAAACACCGATCAGAGGGGTGATGTGTATACAGCTCCAATCCCAAGAGATTTCTGCTCTGGGACAAACACAGGCACATGTCCAGGAGCAACATCTGTTCCCAGCCTCTGTGACTTAGTTTCCCCATCTGTAAAATGGGGATTGTGACATTTACCTCCCTTGTTGAGTACATTGAGACAGAAAGTACAATACAAAAGCCAGGTAGGGATCATGAGTATTTCCAAAAAGAATCCTCACACAAATACAAAACACCCTGCAATGGTGGGGTAAAGACAGACAACACATGGGAGAAAGGAATGATTACTATTCCCATTTATAGAAATGGAGGCAAGGCAAAGAGAGAGAAAAATAACTTGCCCACATTCATTCAAGGGAGTCAGGACCAGAACTAGATGCTGTTCAGGATACACTCTCAGATAAAGTTGTGGCAACCAAGAAGAAAACAGGTTTCTACCCATAAGTGCTAACAGGTCTGCAGCAAGGTAAATTGCTTCCACTCTGATGCCAACACCCAGCAGGCTAGAGCACCAGAGATGTCTGGATGGCTAACCTTGCACACCCCAGAAAATCATTCTTACACTCAGGACTACATTCCCAATGACCTGGTCTTTTCTAGCACTGACCACAGACTGCTTCCCTTGAGTTAGCTTACCCAAGTTAAGGTCACACCATTCCTCCTAATGAAGGCAAGCCCTAGAAATGCCAAACATGAACGCCCCTTGAATAGGATCACTGTCAAAAGTAGTCCCCCATTTTAAGCTGTATCCAAAACCTACTAAAGTGAAGAAGAGTGTTTTTGTACTCTGCCAGATTTTAGACCAGCCATTTCAGCACAGTAGACCCTGCACACAGGTAGCTTTACCAACCACTGAATTAATGACCTGAATAAGGCAGAGAAAAAAACCCAAAAAGCTGATTCTTGGCGCTATCAAACAATTTGTGACCTTCCAGGTTCTGCAAAACAACACCTACAACCTTTCTTCTTGAAGGATTTTTTTTTTTAATTGTCATCAGAACAAGGTTCAAAAGGGAGGTAACAGTGCAGGGCAATCCAACTCCGCGCAAAGGGGAAAGGGATCGGTTCCATTAATTGCTTTGGAATTAATGTGTGGTTCAGTTTTGCTGAGAGATGCAGCCAGGCATTTCACAACCAACAGCAAAGATCATCCAGTGCACTTTTAACTCAAAAGCAGTTAAAGGAATTGTGTGCACTTGCGGCTCTACTTCCCTAAGAAGATCTGGCATGAAATTAACTCACCTGAATTTGATTACACCAGGAATTACTACTTCACTATTTATTATGTTTATTAGTGTCTGCTCCCAATGACATCTTTAGTGCCACTGTGAGAGGCCAAACTCCTCGCATGACAAACCACTAGTATGGAGATATATGGATGACTAATAAGAAGACACCAATAATACAATTATCTCCTGCTCTTGAATAAGATTTTTTTTTTTTTACATCTTTGGTTAAGCAAACACATACAAATCAGATTCTCGTTTAAAATAAGGCCCCTCTACACTGTCAGAACTGCACCAAGAAGTCTCCGTGTAAATGAAGACCTGCCTCATATATGAGAAGTTTGTCTATAAATATAGTGCTTTGGGCAAATTTCATATTTATGAAATAGAGGCCCTAAAGCTCTGTCTGGAATCAGGTTTTAATAAAACAGGTGCTGTGCAAGCTTTTTTTCCCCTAGCGCTGCCAGTGCACCTTCACAGCTAGTTCTGGCAGGCAACATTCCTCGAAACTCCAGGCCCAGGCCTTTCCTGAGCACAGCCTGCCAACACAGACACATTGGGTGGTGTTTTCCTAATGTTTGTGTAACAGGGCTTGCTAGTCCAGTCACCATCCATCTCAACTGTCACAGATGGTCCCAGTTCTTGCCAGGTTGTCTTGCATCCTACAAGGCTGGCCAGGAAGAGACAAACTCCTAAATTTATTTTGGGCAAAGGAAAAATAAAGAGTGATCGGCTTTTACCCATCTCAGCATTGTCACTTGTCAAACAGCGATTACTTACTCCACCTACAGAGCTCAGGTAATACTTTGTTATCCACCACCATAATTGCTAGGCACCATCTAAGATAGTACCTTTCACCATCTGGATGACGTGAAACAAAGCCCTTTTGCAATGGCGCTGTCTTCCAGCATGTGCACCTCCCCAGAGGAGAAAGTCCAGAAGACTCATAAGCCCTTATACCTCCTTTCATCCAGAGATGCTGAACAATGTGCTGGACCTCCCACAGCAAAAAAATCATATGATGTGGCAAGGTGACAGTGAGAAATTTCAGGGATAAGGTTGTAGCTGTGTTGGTCTATGAATACAAGCAGCCAGTGTGCTAGAGGCGATATCTTTTATTAGCCCAACTAAACAGTTGCAAAAAAAAATATTTAATTTGCAAGCTTTCCAGCACACGTGCCTTTCCTCAGACATGGGAGAATGCAAAGATTATAAAATTTCTCCCACGTAGAAATGAAAATTCATATTTCACAGGAGAGCTGGAGGGTGGTATAAGATCTCCTGGCTGGAAAAGTTCATTTTTCATTTTACACAAATTCAGGTCAGATAAAAGTTGGAACAGTCTATTTACCACAGAGGTATCTGATGGCAAGCAGGATTTGAATAATGCTTCTTTCTTGTTACGATGTTTCATTTTTCACAGGCGGATTGGTGATGGAAGGCTCTCCTGGGCAAGGAATTTCTCTTGTGTTGAGGCTGCTCTGCAGGTATGCAAATTTGGCTTGAAACAAAAGGCTGGAGCGGGGGTGTTAGCTTCCAGGTTTCAAGGCATTGAATTTTGCTTCCTTCTTGTAAAATTATGAAGTTTTCATTTTCAAACAGCTAATCCATGTTTCAGGGATAAAGGAAGTAGCCGTGTTGGTCCGTGAGAGATTTCAGTGCATTTAACAGCCTCTCTGCACCAAGTCCTAGAGCTCCAAATGACTTTGAAGCACCCTAGTATCCTTATCTAACAGTGAAAGGCGCATGATAACGTTGCATTCTTATCTAAGCGTGAAAGTCACGTATACATTGCAACAGAGAATTGGCTCAGCTTGCATACATCACTTGTTGATGGCTTTTTGCCAGAAATATGAAGTTTCTCTCACTTGAGGCAAAATGTTTTCTCTTACTTTGAAGGGCAAAATGGATAATTAAAATAATGTTGTAATGGAAACAGTTCAATAAACACACATACTCTGCACCTCACTTGTCTCAGCTTTATCCAGTCTCCTGTAG